CTGCCCTTCTTGTGTTTCATGTAGAATTTTTGAATTGGAGGATTTTTTTTCCCACCCACACTATGAGAGTGCCTTGCTCTCTGGTTTGTGTGCATTTAAGAGTGCTGTTACTTGAAAATTGGTGTTTTTAAAGCCTTTTGAAAGATGACTGTGTTATGTGTTGTCAAATTTTTTTTGAGTTTTGATGTGGGTCTGTTGCAAGCATGCTCCTTTCCTGTTTAGCAGGAAGCATCCTGTCTTTGTCCCTGGAGACATGTCATGGTAGGTCATGTTACTTGTTCTCACTGGGAGTTATAAAGGTGGAAGGCTTTAGTTTGCTTTTAATTTTCAGCATATAAAATAACTTGTGGAAAATCTTATCATGGTCACACGGCTGCACAATCTAAAATACTCTTTCCTGTGCTCATCATACCTGCTTCAACCAACCTTCCTAGATACTTAATGTCATTTCCAGGTTCTGTGTGTTTTGTGCATTTTAAACTCTCTGTTTCTCCATCATTTATGAACTGTTTTCAGGGTTATTGTTTTGTTTGCTTATAAAAATAAAATATGCCTTTAAGGTTAAAACTCCACCTACTCTCATCTCCTGTAAAGTAAAAAACCCCAAACCCACGCACAAGCCCCAAACAGCAGCAAGTGTAGCACAGCAATTTTATCTTGGTTAGCAGCTCCCTTTTGCATTCAACTAGGTTGCCTGCATTTGTTTTTTTTGGGACAAGCTGATGCTAGCTATTGGGAAAACATAAATCTCACCCAAAATACAATGGGGGCCCCAGAAATACTTCTGAGAGTCCTGTTGTGTTCTGCAGTGTTGGTTTTGTTATGTAAAAACATGGTTTGTTCTCAGTGTTTCTCTTTGAGGGTAGATGAGGATGCTAAGGGGTTCATCTGTGCATTCTGTCCTTAGGTCTGAAACTTCCTCCAGTCCCAGCAGCAGTACCAACTGTAATAGCAGTGCTTTGGCTTGTCTCTTCAGCCTCAGCAGAAGCAAGGAGGTTTGATGAAATGCTTACACTGCCTTTGCTGTCACTGATGATCCCCAGCTGAACTCTTTTCCATTCTTTGGGATGCCCTAGTACAGCCTGAATATCTGTTCGTAGCTGCATTTTTGATCATACTTTGTTTGCATTTGCGTCTGTGCTCGTTGTGCCTTGTTTGTTCTGCATTTCTTTTCTGTCCTTCTCTTGTAAGTTGAGCAGGTCTGACCTGCAGTCCAGCCAAAATAGAAATGCAGGCAGGTATTTCACATGGAAACAAGTTTCCCCTAATGCAATTCTAGCATGTTTTCCTAGGGCAATTTAAATTAGAAGTTTTATTGATACAAAATCAGTATTGCTCTATTCTCTTCTAGTAGTCCTGGATGAATGTAGGAGGTCATGTGCAGATTTGTAGTCAGTGCAAGAGGAGTAATTTTATGTGCAAATTTAATGTTCCACTGTACTACAGTACTGAGCATGAGAAACTTTACCAGTGTAACATGGTTTATACTGAGTTGCTAGCAGAAGAAGGATTTTGGAATTCCTGTGGAGGATGTATGATCTTAGAGTCAAAAGCAAGGAAACAAAGCAAAGATACTTCGCAAAAGGAGCACACAGGAAACGGGACAGACAGAAACATATTTTTTCTTGTCTCATTCCCAACACAAAACAAGCAGGAGCTTCTACTTTAGCACCTGCTTCTGACTTCCTCCTTCAGTGACAGGCCTGGTTATTTTTGTAACTGTGGTTGGTTTTTTGGTGGGTTTTTTTTTTCTTCTCTGAGCTTGCAGAATTAATGAATTCTCTGAAGCCACCTTGAAACAACTTCCTTTACTGAGTAAATGTTAAACTTTACTGTATAGCATCCCAGGAGCGGATTGACACAGGTTTGGATTTTGTTTCAGCGTTGGTTTGGGGTTTTTTTTTTGTTTCAGAAATAGGTTATCATTTGTCACTTGAGGGACCATACTACTTTGCATGCAAACAGCTCACTTTAGGAGTGTGAGGATAGCTCACTGTGATTTTATTTCCTTTAGGAGTTACAAGCTTGACTTAAAGATTTGTAGAGAAATAGGCTTAGAGGAAAAGATGCTTAAAAATAACGCAAGATCAAACAAATAGGAGTGACAGGGATGGGAACAGAGTTAATCAATGCTTCTGTCTCTTATCCTGTCTGCAATGCATCAAAACTGGAAAAGGGATCTAGACTTCAGCTTGCTTCAGTCATGCTGCCCCTAAAATTAAAATGAACCTGCAGCAAGTGTCTAATCCATGTCACTGTGTAGCTGTCCAAGTCTTTGAGCAGGCACTGGGCGTGGGGCAGCCTGGGCTTACAAGGTGGAGAAGCTAAAATTGCTTCCTTTGGCCTGAGCATAAAATGTTTGTGCTTAGTTCTGTGGAAACCTTTCCTTAGAGTGGGGCCTAAGGACATTGTTACACAGTGTAATTAAATGCTGTTATTTTAATTATATAATAGAATTTAAGCCTTAAGAAATACTTGCATAGTGTTTTAGAATGAAGCAAAAACGTACTTAATAAATTTAACAGTGAATGCAATTGATTCAAGATTAAATAGTGTGTATAAGGGGAAAAAAATGCAACCATTTTTGAAAAATAACTTGTGATGTAACTTTGCAGAGGATTCTTGTTTATGTGTAAGACAGTAATATACAGAGATTACACATTTAACATTCCTTCTACTGTCAGCTGTGATTCAATATTGGTTGTGGATTCCCCTGTGCCACACTGATTTCGTGCAGTGTAGGTGACCTAAGTCCAGTTCTGGCCCTTTCCATTCTGCTTCATTTCCCAGCTGTGTACAGGATACTTTACTTTTCTTCTCATTTGCTTCCCGCTCCTCCTCAGTCTGAGAGTAGCTCAGCTTTCTCCCCAGACTGTTACATCTAGTTTGGGAGGTGAATCTGTCCATGCAATTTATTTCCTTTCACCTCAGCTTTCCTTTTACAATGTCCTGGTTTGTGGGGTACCATCATTCATTTGTTCAATTGCCTTTTGAGAAAGGAGCAGAAATAAACACCTCAATACTCCTGTTGGGTTTTTCTCAGTTATCCACTTTAATTCCTTTTTAACTTTTCTTCTTCTTAAAATTATTAACTAAGGGATTTTTGTAGATTCATTAAGCAGCTCTTTCTTATGACTAGCTTTTTGCCAGACCAGGGTCCTGAGACAAGTCATTACTATTCCAGCCACCACACTTGTGTGAACACATTTAATTAAAAACTTGGAATTCAGATTCCCTCCCTTTCCCAGCAGAGCGTATTTTATGACTTTCAGGAGCACAAAAATGCAAAAGCTGTCAATTCCAGAGAAGTTCTTGTCAGGAAGACCTGGTTAAAGCATAAGTAATTGTGACTCCTTACTCTTTGCTGGTAATAATGGAAAGATAAAGAGAAATAAAAAGAGGTCAGAAAAATGACCATTTTCACAAGATGACTTCATATGCCTTTTTTTCCTTGGGGAAAATTACTTGTAGAATATATAAGATGCAAGCAATTTATTATCATGTATATTTACAGAGTTCTTTTGAGTTTCTTTTTGATAGTAATCCAGATAGCTTCCTCACAGAATTTGTATTTAAATTGGATTCAATCACCATAATTTTCTTATGTTCATTTTTTCTGTGTTCGAGAGAGCTTAAACTGGTGATGAGTTATGTGGGAGGATAATTTATGTTAAAAAGGGAGAAGATGATGTATTTTAGGGGTGACCTAGCAGAGACTGTGTCTATCCTTACTATTTATGATAGCTAAACTAGACTGAAAATTCTGAAATTTCAAGTTATGTTTTATAATATTAGCATTGAAAATTTTAGGATTTTCAAATCTGACGGTTCCCTACTCCTGGCCAGGATATGTCTAGCATCTCCCACTGTGTTATCTTTCTTGTTGAGATAGTTGACACAAAATTCTGCATGAAACAATTACACTTGCATTATGTTCCTGTGCCAGTTCACTGGTGTATTTCTTGTACCTTTTGTGATACTTCAGTGCTCTTCATTGCCTGGGGAAGAGGAGATCATGTGTTTTTCTTATGCAGAATTTACAGTGTCATCAAGGATCTACATCCAGTAATTATCCCAATAACTTGAGGAAGGGCACTTCTTTTCTAGAAGTTTGATTTTTGATTTTACAGTTTTTTAAATTAGCTGTGGCAAACTACTTGGCAGTTTCACTGGGGAAAAAAATTCCAGCTGCTCTCTGTAAATAAATTAACTCAGTTAATGGTAGGATAATGGTGGAAGTTACATACTAAAATACTGCATTGTCTTTTCTGTGTTGCTTAAACTTACTGAATATTAAGATTGTTCGTTGCATGGTATGGTTTCCTCATTCATTTATTTAACATGTAGGTTGAAAAATGTTTGCTGATACCAGTGATGAATTTAGCATAATAAAATGAAGGTGTTCACAATGTCAAGTACCAGGAGGCAGATTTTTTTGTATTGCACAAAGCATCTATTTTAAACAGTAGTAAGAGTGATCTGACTAAACTAAACTGACACAGATATTTATGAAACAGCTTGAATGAAAGAAGTTGAAACTACTTAGTTGGGTTTTTCAGGTAGTGACTTGATATCTAGTTGGTCATTGCTGGATGATGTTTTATTTGATTCCAGTTCTTAGCAAACCATATTTGTAAAAGCTTGTGGGTGGAAGTATGGTGTAAGAGTTTGGATTCTTGCTGGTGGAGTTACTGGAATTCTTTACACATCTGTAATCAGCCTTAACTGATAGAGTTTAGTAATTTATCCAGCTCTGAGTTTTATAACCTAGAACAAAAAGCTAGCTTAGTGTGGGAATAGCCAGTGAGCATGGATTGTACTGGTTTGGGCCAGTTCTGTTGCTGCAGGAATAAGCTGATGTGAAACTGGATGGGTATAATCAGATATCTTCTGAAAGCAACTGAGATGCTTGCAACATGAGGCAGAGCAGCTGTCAAAAATGTTCTTGTGCAAATGTGGTTATCTTTATTTTTGGACTAACCATCATTTTGTCTTCACAGCAGCTATACTTCTGAATGGAAGTGGCTTGCAGACAGAGCTAGAATTGGCAGCCGTTGGACATGGCTTCAAGCCCAGATTTCAGAACTAGAATACAAAATCCAACAACTAACTGACCTTCACAGGCAAATACGTGCCACCAAGGTATTGTCTGAAAGCTCATAAATGGGCTTTTCAAATCATCTTTTGCCAGTGTTTCTTGTAATATTTATGTATTCTGTTCCTTGTTGCTGTTCTTTTCTTTGCCCTAGACTTCTTGGGTATTTGCAGGCTGTCACCTGCAGAGTTTAATGGGAAAGACTTCAGGAGCTAAAAACTATTGTACTTTAAACACATCAGTACAGGACTGTGATTTGGGAACTGTTACCTTTGAATCTGTTATAGTGACTTTATTAGTGGCTTTCAGGGGCCACCAGTACTGTATTTATCACTGGTTTTTCCCTCTGCAGGAGAGGTGAGATTGCCTTTTCAGGTGGGATTTTCAGTTATTAGTTTTCAGGGTGGGTTTTTTGTTACTTGCAGCGCATGTTTATTCTGAGGATTAGATTGTTAATGTTTGTACAGCACTTTAAACAGGTCAAGGATTAATAATTACTAAAATTCCAGTGTGTGTAATTCATGTGCTAGTTTTTGTAAATTGAACTGTCTAGACAGTGGGAAAGTGACATTCCTAAACCATTAGTAATCTAGCTATCAATTTATTGTGTTGCTCAGGTCATTCTCGCATAAAAGAAGCCAAACCTGTGCGAGGTGGTGTGATAGAGAGAGGTTTTAGAGCAGGGATCTTTGACTCTTCATCAGTGAGCCTCATGTAGGTTCTCTGGTGTGTGTTGGGGTCAGATAAGCACAACTGAGAGGAGTGAGAAGATGCTTCAGAGTTCATGTGGCTGAACTCCCTCTATGAGACTTAGAGGGAGTTTAAAAGGGAAGGAAAACCATCTCAGAGAGTATTTCCCTCTGAACAAATAAAAGAAAAATTATTCCATCTTCTCCTTTTGCCCTCAAAGCCCTTCTTTTCATATCCAGCTTGTCCCCAGTCAGGTTTTTCTTTATAAAGAAATGAAGACCCTTTGTTTAAGGGTCTGTGTAAGGAGATTTTATACTTTGGTGAAGGGTAAGAATGTCCATGGTTTGATGCTGTCCTAAATACCAGACACATGCACACTATTATATCCAAAAGCTGTCAGCCTTTATGATGTCTTAGGTCAGATGAGCTACAGAAGATTGAGAAATAAATATCAGAGAAATAAGAGGAAAAACATTATTTTAGTCACACATTTTCTTTGGGTGGTATGTTGGTTTGGAGCCAAGTCATCTTCCTGGTAGAGATTTTTAGTGACATTCCTTTCTGAAACTCCATTCCCTTTTTACCAGCTGTGATATTTAGTGTTTGGCACTATTTGTGTCCCATAAGAGAAGGCAGGCACCTTTTTTCTTCTGATAGAATTTTTTTTTGTGGACATGTTTCTAGTACACCAGTGCAGCAGCTACAGGACATGAGGGCTGATAGAAGAGCTCTTTGTTTTCATTTAGTGGCTGCAAAGGAATGACACAATATCGTTAGAATTTGCACGCTGTTTAGTGGTTTCAGAGTGTTTTTGATGTGCTTTGAGTGGAAAAAAAATGTGATTCATAGCCAGGGAACAACGATTTCAAGCAAAAGGCCACTCCTTGAGCAGTGTGATGCAATAGGAAGGGAGAGGAGTAACTTGTGGGCTGTTTCCTGGCCTACTACAGTGTGTTTTCTCCATCTCTACAGACACAGAAGTAGCACCTCTGGATATTTGAGAGTCCTTTCAGTAAAAAAAAAAAAAAAAAAAAAAAGAAAATCTATATCTGCAGAGCAAAATAATTCCATCTGAGGAGGAAGGCAGTCATTGCCAAAACCTACTGATTGTAATCCATTAACTTGTAATATACTCTGTATTAGTCTTCTAATTCTTTACTCTTCCTCCTTCCTTCTGTGCCTATTCCATCTTTCCCATTCCATATGTTCTGTCAATTTTACTCTTCCTTTTCTGCTTTCCTATTTCCATGCTTGGTAAACAAATTTCTAAAGCTTAAAAAAAAAATAAATTCCATTGGAAGCATGTGTGTGTGTGTGTGTATGTCCCTCTTTTCAACACTTAATGTGTGTCTTCCCATTCCTTTGACCTCAGAATTTTTGTTTTATACTTTATATATATATATATATTTATACCTTTTTAGGTATTAAACCAAGTTTTCAAGCACCTGTGTTTATTTTTAGAGAATATCTTTATTCTCAGCTTCGAGTTTATAATTCAAACAATGGAATAAATTAGGCACATTGAGAACAAGAAAATGTCACTTTTTCCCCTAGTCTCCTCTTTGAAGTCTCTTTGAGACTTGCTTTTATATTTTAAGGCCAGTTGCTGCTGAGGCAGTAGTAAAGGTCACTGAAACTACAGGATCCTTAGTTTTCCACAACCACAACTTAGGTGATGTCTGTCTTGCTTAAAGAAATAGCAACACATCTTCCTTGCGTTCACATTATGGCATTCTTCCTTGTTCTTTTATTGAGTGGAATATTCTCATTAGAAAGACAAATTTGAGGCAGAGTTATAATGATCCCATTCTTTTAATATCTGCTTGATATTTGAGTAACAGTTAGTACTTTAAAATCAAATAAGTTCCTTCCCTTTCTCTTTGGAAAAAACCTGGAGAGGTTTGATAGCTGTTTCTGGTATTAAATTTATTTGTTCAAGATAATGACAAACCAAGGAGCTGTTTGAGGACTGGGTTTAACTGTCACAAGGTTATTTTTGCTTTTATTTTGTTTAACATTTTAAGTTCTTTAACCAACTGATACATTACCTAGGATTATACTAGATTACCTAGATTATACTATTTTTCTAATCTGTCATGAGGAAAACACAACAGGGGTATTATTTTTCTAGTTCCATTTATGAAACTGTTATTTCCCTACCATAAAAAGTTATATTTATCTTATTAGGTGATGTTCTAGATGTTGCACCGTATCTGATACCGTATTTGTGCAGATGGTCTTGAAAAGTAGTGACAGTGTTAGAATATTTAGGATAGTTACTTCTAATTATGAAACTCTAGAAATGCTTACTGTAAAAAAATCAGTTATTAAATTGTAACAGGCTTTTGTTTAGAATTGTGTAATTTCTGCTACATAAAAATAGCAGTCTTAATGTTTTGCATTGAATAGAGATAGGAATAAGAGAAATAGTGCACTTCAAAATGTCTCCAGCAAAGTTTAATGACTGCAAAGACTAAAACTAAGCTCAGATCAAAGGGTGATTGTTCTTAGAGAAAAACCTCCTCTTAAATCAGCAGGCAAATTATCATGTAATATTCTACTAAGTATGAATTTCTGATTTGAATTTTGGCACAGATGTTTAAGCAGTGGTATAACACTGGAATGATTGCTGTTACAAGGAGTAGCATAATTAATGCAGCTTTTTTTTTTTCTTGCTTGCTTTTTTTTTTTTCTTTTCAATGCCTCCTATTTCCATATTTTCGCTATGAAGTGTATTTTAAATCTTGCTAAGTGCTCTAAAATTTTCAGGAGGATTTAAGAGAAATGTGCCAGGTTTGACTGCCCCTTAAAAATTATTTAGGAGTGTTAATCTGTTGTCAACCAACTGTGTTCAATTGCTGTTGTCTAGGGGACAGTGGTCTTAGAAGAATTCCCATTTCCAAAAGACATTTTGAAGAAGCAAATACAATTGACAGACCAAGAAGCTTTATTAAACGCCACAGGGAATTCACAAGCTGCCATCGAGAGACAGAATTCTTTGCCAGAACATGACTTTGAAATGTCACCCAGCAGTCCCACTCTGCTTTTACGAAACATTGAAAAACAGGTAAAGTAAAACAAAACCGAGTTGTCAGTGAAGCCAAATGATTAACTTCAGAAATAGGGAGGTTCCATGGTGATGACTTCCAAAAAGAAAGATATTTTGCAGTCGTGGGATTGGGTGGTGATTAATTGAAGGGCTTAAATAAGTACACTGTACACCAGGTTTACAAATTAACCTTTTATTTCTGACCTGTGTTACCACTTTGTTTCCCTCCAAGGGGACATACAACAGCCTGTAAGAACCATCCACAGACCTGCCCCTGCTTTATAGTTAGGTCAGTGCAGAGTTTCCACAGGAAATGCTTAATGTGACATGAAAGAGAACAGCTGACAGTGGAGATACATTGATTTTTTTTTAAAAAAAGCCTCAGCAGAATACAATTGTTCATCTGCCTTTTCAAACATTGTAGGACTCTGGTTTGAAGCTGAGGAATTCCATGTGTTCACCAGGTACAGTGGAGATATAGCTGTGAGCAGAGTTTTGCTTTGCAGTGTGCAAAACAGCTGTTTCCATGGTTGATTCCAGGGAACAATATGTAGACTCCAGCAGGCTTTTCTTTTGCTTGAAAGTACATAAAGGATGTGGTAGGATCACATTGCTGAAGAAGATACTAGAAATTTGTTTTCAGAATGAACTTATGCAATTTGTGTGAATTGACAAATCTGACAAAGTCACCATTGGGGCATTAATTTGTTGCTCTGCTGCTCTATATAAATTCCTGGTCATACACACATTTTTTAGAAGGGGTATAAGTAGTAGCATTAAGTACTAGTGCCTGTTAATGAATCCCTGTGCCAATTTTTCTTACTTGATAATCATCCTTTCCTGTTCTTAAAATGCTTCCTTTGGTTGATAAATCATATACAACACAGGCAGGAGTGAGGAAGCAATGACACAGGAAATTTATATGCTCAGTGCTGGCAATTGTATAAGGTAACCCAAAGAGCATTTTTAGAATGTGATGAATGGCCCCTGTTTAAGTGGTGGCTTGGAGAATTAAATACACTTTTCAGTAAGACTTTTGACGATTCAAGGGGTAGTGGTCTGTTTCCTGGTCCCCAGGTAGCCACAAATTCGGTCCAAGGGGTCCAAGAACTTGGATGATCTGAAAATTACTTGGAAGTAGACTAACACATCTCACACAACACATTGGATTTCTTCCCTTTTACACCACTAAAAGCCTTGGGGTCTGATTTCCTTTTTGACTACCAGTTCTGTTCTTAACTCTGAAAGTCTGAGTTTCTTGTTCAGTGTCAGCAGCAATAATGCTGCAGCCTGAAGTATATCTACAGATATTCCTGCAGAATTCCTCAGTCTGGTATTAAAGTATTTCTTTGTTAAAAATAAGTGATTTTGCTTGTGAACCAAAAGAAAAGTCATGTCAAATGACTTTTCAGTCAGAATAAAAGGGACTAAGGCTGGCAATTTTTATTAACACTATTTTCAAGTCCTTTCACAGTTACATCTATGTTTTCCCTTGTGTTTTGGAAGTCTGCCAATTTTTTTAATGCTCTTATATTCAGTAGAGACTATCCTTACAGAATTAATTCTGCTGAGATTTTTAAATCAATCTGCTAACTATTTTACTGGCATCTTGTTTGTTTTGCCCACCCCTTTTATAATTGACTTGCTATTTCTGTGCTTTAGTATCCATCCCTAAATTTTTTTCTGATGTGAAATTTTTACCTGACTACATCACCTCAATGTTAAGAAAGAAAATATGTGAGTAATAAAACAAACAAAAAAATTCTTCCTCTTTCTGCATAAATGCAAATGTAAAATCATAATGTAAGGAAAACTTACTAGATAACCTCTAGCAATTCATGTTTTAAACATTCTTAATTCTGAATGAAAATCCAACAAAGTAATGCAAAAGGTTGTTTTTTTTTTAAAAAAAAAGAAGTATGCCATTTCAGATACATTTAATTTCTGTTCAGTGTGCAGAACACAGCTTCCTCTAAGCAATTTCCTACATTTTTTTGTGAGAATAGCCTTTAAGGTCTGACATTTAAAACAAAGTATCATTGTGAAATGTTTTTGGAGTCATTCCACAATTCATTGCTTTGGGAAGGAGTAATTCTTAGTCTTAACAAATTGGCTACATTTGTTTCATTTGTTTTGGGTCAGTTTTGAAAGTCAGGGGTTTTTGCAGGAGAATGGGGAGGGGGTGTTTGCCTCCTGTTACTATTTTTGAGGATACCAGAAGATCTGTCTGTTGTTACAATAGTCCTCAAGTAGTTACACTTCCTTCTATAAAAACACCTTTGTCAAACTCTAGTAAGCAATGAAGAGGATTCTTTTAAGAACAAAAATACTTTGAGTGAACAAAATGTACGATGAATAGACAGTTGACCTTTTTTTTCCCCCCCTGTTGAAATGCTTGTCAAATAGCCAGTTAGCAGCTCTGGCTGCAGCTGTTGTAATATCAGCCATAAAATGTTCTGGTTTCTTTTTTTCCTTTTAAAGACCTTTGGTTACAGTACTAAAATCAGTAATGTATTTGGGGTACTACTTCAAGTGTATAAACAATGTTCAGGGTTGTGTTGGTGTTTTGTTGGTGTTTTATTGGGGTTTTGGTAGAGTTGAACATAATAATTGTGAAAGAAAAACCATGCCAACGCAGTTATTCACAGGAAGAAACTAAATGTGATTATTCCATGATGTACAGGACTGAAATCCTATGTAAGAAAACAAGAACCCAGGAGCTTTGAGCTGTTGAGTCTGGATAAAAGTCTTACTACCTTTAACTTTTATTTTTTTTTCCAGAGCGCACAACTAAGTGAAATCATTAGCAGCCTAATTGCTCCACTCAATCTGTCTCCAGCTTCTTCATCTCTTTCATCCAAGACCTGTAGACACAGACAGCTGGTCAATGGCATCTCCTTCAGGTGGGTGACAATTTTTTTTGAGAATAACTTTTGGTAAAGTTGTCTATATGAAACTAATAGTCATTACAATATTAAACAAGAAAAAGAGCTGCTTTCTGCAAGCTTCAAGAAAAGTCAAGTTTTGATTGTAAAGTTGAAAATAGAGTTTTGTTTTGTTCCTAAAGATACCATAAACATATGGTCACTATAACTACATTTAAATTCTGTGAAGTTGAATCTGTGAAGTAGTGAAAGAATATAGGAAAGCATTTATTGTGATTGTTTGAAACAATGCATTCTGTCATAACAAGTGCAGCTTTATTTCTGGAAAACTGACAAAGTAGATTAGTAGAATATGTAAGCAATGTCATGTGTCTCAGCAGAGGTCAGTGTCAGGGCTGTAACTTCATTAATTTTAAGCAGATCAGTCGTCAACAGAAGGCCGAATTTATCTTTGCCACCCACATTTTCAGGAATTTGAAGATACTATTTTCCATTCAAGGTGTTTTGTTCTGGATGGACATACCTTACAAGATGACTGTAGGTTGAAATTAATATTTTAGAAAAATATTTCTTAGTGCTAGTCCATGCTACTTAGTAATTCTATCTTTTATTCAAAGATTTTAAGTGCAGTACAGGTTGTACTAAGTATTAGTTTCAAAATAACATTAAGGTAATTGAATACAGTTGCAAAAGGTCTAGGTGTATTGGATATTTTTCCTGAGATACTTGTAATGCGATTTTTGAGGATGCTGTTATTCACAGGTCTTAATTAGGATCAGGTGGATGAAGAAACTGTTCCCAGCTAGAACTGGGGTGTTTATGGCAGTGTGCAGCAGAACATAATTCCCTGGCTCCCGACTCCAAGAAGAGCTAGCCACACCGTCTGTTTCAGCTTTGCTGCAGAGGCTGCAGCCTCCCACAAAGAGATTATAGTGAGCAGCTTGGATGGGCAGCTACTTTAGGTGCCGTCTGTTCCACAGGGATTGTGTGATTCTGCCCTAAATTTAAGGATGAAGGGGTCCTGGCATGTGACATCCTTGCTCCTGGTGTATCAGTTGTTTATAGATGATGTAGGAGAAAATCAGGAGGTTCATTTTAGATGTGGACTAAAATTAGCCCTGAAACAGGAGTTGCTTACAGAGATGGGTATGTGGAAGAAGAGAGTTATTTAGGCTGTGTCTTGAGTCTGACTTTTTCATGAGACAGATGAGGAAGAATTCCTGCTTTTAAAATCGTTTCTTGGAGTATATGAAGTTAACTTCATGATGAGAGATTCTACTGATGTAACTTCAAGCCAATTCTCCTCTTATTTATTAGTCACTGTCCAAAGTTAGTGTTTCCATTTCGCTCATGGCCTGCTCTCTAAGGTTGGTTGTTTTCTACTCATGACCTAAAAAAGTCCAAAGAGAAATATTAGGACTTGGAAGATTTTCTCAGTGCTGTAGCTCTAAACTGAAGTTTGGCAAGTTAGGTGTTGGAAGGGAATCTGAGAGATTTTAGGGCTTTCTAGATGCTGTCTTAAGCATGAATTAAACAGTTAAGTTTAATTTTTCACTGCTTATGAAGTGTTTTAAAATCTGCCAGTAAATACTTTTCATTAAAGATGCATGAAATAGAGTGGTTTTCATGAGGATCCTGCAAGGAAATTTACTGCCTCCTACTTCTTTGGGGTTTTTGAGCATGTTTCAGGTTTTTGGTGGTATTTTGGAGGTTTTAGAGCAGGGCTCTTTGGCTCTTACGCTTAGTAGTAGCTATGTGTTCCATTAATTGAATTAACTTATTAGTTAATTATTAACTTACATGTTGCAGTTAACTTAATTCTTAGCTGCTACTCCCCTTGCTTTTTCTAGAGTTCATTCTGACTGTATTCAGTATTTCAAAAAGCAGAAACCAAAATCAAACGGAAAATAAGGGGATTTTTTTTTTTTTTGAGAGAGGGAAAAAACCAGATTATAGCAACTTTCACTTAAGTAAGTTCTTGAAATTAGTTGTAGGCTGTTGGTGTGAAAAACACCATTTTCCATTTTGAAAGTAGGTTTAAGCATGGGATGCTTAGGGCTGGTAATTGTGGGGTTGCAGTACAGTTGGTTACATGAGCTGTTGGCAGTGGAAGTGGAGGTGCATGGACAGTTCCTGGTTGACTGAATATGGGTAACATTGAATTGCCATTTGTCAAGGCCTAATTACAGTAGTGCCTTCCTGGTTTTTTGTGTGGCTTTTCCTTGCTCAGTTGAATCTAAGTGCCAAGATTAGCCCAAAGTGTTGCATGAAGGCAGATGCTCATAAAAGCAGTTACCTAATCTAGTGATACCCACTTTCTTACGAAGAGAAAGGAAGGAAAAATTTCATACTTCAGGCCAAATAGTGTCTGTCTGGCTTGCTGTGCAGGCTTGCATCTGGAAGGTCAAGAGCTAGAAAGGCAAACCTCTGAGCTTTGAAAGGAGCATTCTAGCAAATTCATGACTTTCACATCTGGCTGTGGTTCATTTTGTTCTTCTGTAGAATCACATTTTGAAAACCACTCAGACTAAGATCAGACTAAACGGGTAACTCAAAGCTTGATTGGGAAACATTTTACACGAGTGGCAGGAAAACCCCACTGCCATGTACTGGAGCTCTCTTCATCTGAAACTGGAGCAGTGCATTGCTGCAAGGCACAGGAGGGTAAAGAGAGCAGCTGTCAGAGACTACAGAGAAATTACCAAGGGCCTTGGCAGACCACCAGAACAAAGGCAGGAATCACACAAGTTGAAGAGCCAGGCTGAGGAGCTTGTTGTACTAATTTTATATGTCCAAGTTGTCCCTCACTTCAGAGAGAGGTATGTGGAAATCCACAAGTTGAGCTTGGGACCATCTGACTTAGAAAATGTTTTTGAGAATTCAGAGAGAGTATTTTAAGAAATCTTTTCCATGGACTGTAAACCTTGTATTTCTTTCTCAAGCCTTAAAAATGCAGTGTTAACATTAAGAATGTCATGCCTCAGCATTTCAGGCTTTTTCTTGGCACTTCTGATCTGTTCCTTTAAATACTTTGTACAATCCCTCTGTTAATTAGCATGTTGTTTTCATGTGTCTGTGTTGCTTATTGAATTGTATTGATGTGTCAGGAAGACAGCTCAAATTCAAACCTGTAAAGCCTTGTTACCACTCCAAAACAGCATGGGATGGTGTTTAATCACACTTCCATAACAAGCCCCTTCATTTAATAAAAATATACTGTTAAAAGAATATCACCTGTCAAAAAGATTTATAAGTGGCCTTGTAATAAATTCAATTTTATGTTGTAATGTGTCATGACTCTACTAATAAAATGTGACTTGTCAAAAGACAAAATAATCATTTGTGCAGATAGATGACTTGTTATGAAGCAAGGCCAAAATACCTTGTGTAGTTGCACTGCTCAGACAGTCCAGAGCTGTGATCAAGGTCTTCAGTATTGTAAAAATAAAAGCACACTTGAGTGCTTTCTGCAGCAAGCTTTCAACTTTGCAGGCAGATATTGCTACAGCAGCAAAATAAAATCAGGAATACCTATAACAGGGAAGTTCATTCTTCCTATTGAGTTATTCCCACCCAAATAGGTGAGTGTTTTAAGTTTTTACCTTGTGTTGCCTATTCTGGTCACCAGACCAGAATAGGTTGGTGAGGATGGTGTGAGATTGTTCTACACATACATGCAGGGACTTCTACTGCTTTTGGCCATGTCTTTGCACTTGATTTTGACTCTCTACATTTGGAAGTTGTAGAGCTCCTAATTTCGATGCAAATGCTTCACAGTGAGTTGCAAGCCCAGTGCTGATTGATCACTAGTTTGTAAAGCTTTACTTAGGTTTCAGTTCTTGAGCAAAACCAGAAAATCTTGAAAGTATTAGGACAGAATTCTAGATCTCCTTTACAGAGTGACTGCTGTCTTGAATGGAACATCAGGATGAGGAAGGGAAATATTAATTGTAACTGGAAATTCATGTGTGTTAAAAATATTAGAGAGTTCTTGAATTTGTAAAAAACAAAACTCTGTATATGCTTGAGGGCTTAACTTCATTTTGACATTTGTTTCCATGAGCAGAAAGGTGAAGAAGAATGATAAACTCCCTTTCCTGACCTGACATGGAAGTAATTAACTAGCAAACAAAGCACATACACAATTGTCTGAAACAGCATGCTAAAACCTTGTGGTGTTTATAAAATTCCCTTAGAATTAGATAGCTAATACTAATCATTGTGTGAAATCTTGGCCTGTGCATGGGGAGCATATCTGACGTTTTGTATTTCCTCTCCTTATTATTCATGAAATTGCAGAGCTTCAGATAATAGAGAGGTATCCTCTTCAAGCAGCTGGCTGCTTGACCATCAGCACATCAAGAAAAGAAGAAGAGACAGGACAAGACTCAGATCTGTCTCTGTGAATAGTGTGAGCACATCTGCCCGAACAAGGCCACTCCATAGTTTCCAGAAGAGGAAACTCTACAGAATGCACGGTGCCTGTCATTGGAATCAGCAGGTAGGCCCTTGCCTCTCTGTTTGGGAGAGAAAACCCAAGAGTCCAGCTGCTTGAGTTGGCTTGTCTCTTGTCTGGTGTGCCAGAGGAATGGTGCATGTTGTGCTGGTTATTTGTTGCATTCAGGGACCATAGAGTGCTTGTGGTGGCTCTACTGGATTTGTCTGCAGGAGCTCAGAGTTAATGAGCTGAACATAAAAATTAAAGATAGCTCAGAGTCCTGCTTATCAAATCAGTTTGTTCTATGGCTGTCTTTAAAGCCCTTGTACAATCTAAGAGACAACTTGAGAATTTTTTTGGGAGGCCTGGCTGCTGAGGAGACAGGCTACAGTGTAAAGCATCTGCCTGCTTGTTTTCAGAGTATTTGTTTTAGCTACAGGAAAGTTTACACAGCTGGTGGCACATTATTTTCTAGGAAATTGAATTGCAATATCTTAATCTTGTTTCCATTTTTGCTATTTCTGATTAGTTACATTGCCTTTTTCATGACACTTAGAGAATGCTTTAAAATTAGAAATTTTTGTGTTACAGAGTAATTAATATTTTAAAACTGAAAAAACCCCACATTGTCTTGTGCAGGGCAAGGCTATCTGCTTGCATCTGGTATTAAATAGCATATTGCTGGTAAGAATGTATAATGAGTTTAGCTGTAGTGCTTAAAGAAACAGTCTAATTTGGGAGCAGAAACAGTATGAACTCATTTTTCAGAACAGTGCTAATCCCAAGAGGTTTTATTTCCTTGATTTTACTTTGCCTTTTTAAAAGTAAGTGTAGTATCGAGGAAAATCTCCATGTCTCCTCAGTGATCTGTCTAGGATTTATTAAGTGTGCCAGTGGTCTGGGGAGCAGTTTCCCATGCAGGGATGTTCTGTGCTGATTCAGCATTCTCTGCAAAATGGCAGAAGCGCCCTAGTTTTAGCAAGATACTTTATTGTAAAATTGTCCATTTTCTTATTCATTTGAGTTCCCAGCTTCCTGACAGTGGGGCTAAAAGACTTGGCAGCCTACCTGGAAGGTTTGGTGGTGAGTGAGTCTGGGAGCTCTGCCTTCTCCTAGGTACTGAGCCTTTTCATCTTCTTCGCATTGACCAAGGAGACTGTTGTGGACTTGGACTTGCTGTTACATTCAATCCTGTCACAGGGTTTGGAGGCCTTGTGCCGTGGCTGATGCCTCCAACTGCTTCTTGCAGCTGTGGAGAAAGCTCCTCAGCAAGAGACTTGAGGACTTTCCCTTCTTTCTTCTTAAACATGAAGGATTTTCACTCCAGATGCAGTTTCTAAATAACAGGCCTTTCTGGAAGCCTCTGTCTTGCAGGTTCACATATTTCATATGTCTTACAAGCACTCCCTATGTCTCTGTTCTGAGAAGTGGGCCAGAGTTAGGGAAGTTCTGAGAGCATCAGTAAAGGCTTGTGATCAGATGCTCCATGTCTGTGGCCTTGACAGCAGGAGTTCAAGGCAGAGTTTAGATATTTACCTTCAACCAGATACAGAGCTTAGCTGCTCTGCATGCTTGATAGTTTACCTTGACCTGTAGGCTGCAAAGAAAGATTTATAATTAATGTTTGGCTGTAGACTGCAAGCAAAAAGTATGTTTTTATGTTAACAGTTAATGCTTCAAGTATCAGAACTGGTGTGTCTGCTCCATGCTCTTGGCATCTCTGGTGCTGGGTTACTTTATATTAGCCCAGCTTCAGTGTCTCTGTACCAAAAGTGCAGAGTCCCAAAGACAGTGAGGTAAAACACCCCTGTAGGGAATGCTATTTATACTTGCTGCAGCTCTCAGCTCAAAACCCTGTGTTTAGAATCTGCTTTTGAATGTCCTTTTCATGAGGAAGTTAACCAAGATGGAGAACTACACTGTGGGATACAGCCAGATTCTGTAGCTCTTGTTCCTTGAGAAAATAAGAAATTATGGCAGCAATCGAGTTATCAGCTTCAGTCGTCATGCAAGCGACAAACTCAATTAAGTTTTGAAAATCAAGCTAAAGCAGGGAACAAAGCCACTCACATAGTATTGGTTACAAACAGAGGATCAGAGATTCTGCTGGAGAAGTAAGTGGTAAAATTAGACTGGACATTTCTAGCACATTCTGACAATCAAACCTAAATGGGTATCGAGGCTTTAAATTAAGAGTCTGCGGCAGCGTATCATTTTATTCAACAAATCTTATTCTAACAGGCCCTGTCACTTTCTTAATCCTGCACTTGCCACACTTGGTTACCCAGCTGTTGATGAGATTGCTCATCCTGTAATGAAAGAGCACTGGCCATCAGCCCTGGCCTTCTGGATTAGGCAGATGTCTAAGGGTAAGGATGCAAAATGGGGAATGGTTTCTGGGATTGATATCTAGTTTTCTCTGAACATGCTTTTATATTCCCCACAGTAATTCCCCAGAGCAAATTTCCTCCAGACTTTCACAGAAAAAATGAGTAACTTCTTAGCATATGGAAAATAATTGGATTTTTAATGTAACATTAGTAGTGTGTCTTCTCTAGCAAGTGCCTCTCCCATATTTCCTCAAATTTGACATACTTATATAATCCCTGGTACCACAGTCTCTGAGGACCCCCGGTTCTTTAAGGTCACTGGCCTGAAAACAAACTGGGAATCTTGCAGCAGATGTGGAATTAACAAATTCCAGCTTGCCAAAATCAGAGGAGAAAACTGAATCTTCTGAATGTTGCAGTTGTGGTGCCTGGTTTGAAGAGCCAGTGAGCAGTGCCTGGCAGTGCTGAGGGAAGATGCTGCTCTGTAAAGTAATTTGAACAAGATGGTGACTAAAGAATTATGACCAGAGAATGACAGAAAAATGCAGATCTCTGTGTGTGTGACATTAAGAGATGTGGGGACAGCTTTGAGGCATTTTCAAGTGGGTTTTCATTGCAATGACAGGTTGTACCCCTCATGCATCTGAATGGCATTTAGAGTGTCATCCCTCACATCTCTTCAGACTCATTTGGGAATCTCATACTCCCCCTTCACTCCCCTAACATCCATGTTAGGAAAACTAAAGTATGAAACTGTGCATTGCTGTGCTGTCTGTCAGTTCATAAGGTCACTGGGAAGACAGCCACATTTTTTCTCTAAGGTACTGCCGTGCCACATACATTACAATGAGTGTGTATGACCTAGAAGCCTCCTGTTGCCTGTGGAGAGATGCCCTATATTGTCCTCTGCTGTTTCTTTTCTGAAGAGGACTGTGCCTTCCCCTGCTGTGCTAGTTAAATAATGCTTACACAGGGTAGTATCTAAAAGAAAATACAGAAGTGTATGAAACTGTAGAAGACCTTCCAGACTGACAAGATAGACCACAGATAAATAAAACAGGATGCAGAGTGTTTGATTTATCTGTCCCCATCCAATATCCTCAGGAACTTCAAACATCCTTTGGGGCCAAATCCTCTTGTTCCTTAATTCAGAATGACTAAGTACCATAAGATGATCCCTGAGTCATCATTTGGCCCTGGAATCTGTTTTATATCTTCTCTATCTAAATAGCTTTGTAAGAGCTTAGGCCATTTCTTGATTGAGAGTCATGCACGATAAACCGTGGGATTGCAGTCTGTGCTTCAGTCTAGAGGACATGATTGTAGTGGTGCATTTCTTCAGCATGGTGTTTGAATGAATGAGTGATAAAACTTGTATTTAGGACAGCACAAAGTTGTAAGCTGCAGGTGTGTTCAAGTGGGAGGAGACAGTGTTTGCAAGTGGGAGTTGGAAGTCTGAGAGTGCTTAAATCTGCTGTTCATTTGTGTTGTTACAGCTGTCAAGTCAAAACCTCTGGGTCATTGTTTCCTCCTATAAAATGTGTGTCATGTAGTTTCAATGCTAAGAAAGAAGGCCAAAAGTACCTAAACATTAAAACTGAGAAAGTCTGTAAGTAGCAGATGAGTGTCAGGACTGTAAGACACCTAGTGAATCATTTCTCAGTGGTTGTTGCATTTATAACTGCCTTCCTCCCCCACCCCACATTCTCCAGTCTAATGCCTCGTGCTCCTGCAAATGCTTTTCCTATAGTGAGGAAAATTGTACCTCTGTCTCATGCTGGCTTTTTGTCTGCACTTGAAGGAACTGTATTATCTGTGACATACCAGCAGCTTTAAAAGCAGACAAGTGTTGTACTAGTCAGAAACTCTCTGAGAGGTTTGCTTAGCTGACATGCCCTGATGTTTTCTTTTTTGCTATTTTATATGTGTGACTTGCTGCAGGATTTTTTTAATTACAAGGATTTTGTTTTGCCAGTGTGTTTTGTTAGTTTCTCATTTAATATCCTAATAAAGGATATTAATTCCACTTTTTTCAAGTCATGTTTTGCCAAGAGATGTCATTGAGGCTATGTAGACTTTTAATCTATAAAAACTTTATACAGCTCTAAGTAAAGGTAGGAGACAATAGAGCTGTGAGATTGGAGTACTGTCAGTCCTGTCTGTTTCTTTGCAGAGTTGTAGAGCATGGTAGGGTTTTTTAATCTGAAAATTCTCATTGTAATCATGTCCCACCTGCTGGAGAAACAGCTGGTTGTGGGGACTGAAGCATGTGGAGAAAACAGAATTCAAATTTGCAAAGGTGCCAACACCCTGAAAGTTGGGAATGGAAGTGCAAAAGCTTACACTTTGGATGCCACAAGCAAACAGTTGGTATAATGTTGCCAACTCATGCGGCTGCATATTGCCACATTTTCTTCTCTGCAGTCTCAACTGAAGTAAGAACAGAAGAATATCTGCTTTCATTTAGTGGTTTAAAAAAAAAAAGTAAAAAAAAAAGTGAGTGCTTGTCCAGAAGGCTCTGAAACAGACAGGAGAAAAGTATTTAAATTCTAGGGTATGACTTTCTTGTTTTGATTTAAATCTCATGGTGGTTCTGGGATTTTTGTGTTCAGGAACATTCCCAGTCCATGTCTAGTGCCAGTGGTATTTTTTGTTGATGCTGCTTGATACATATGTGTGGGTCTTTCCCCAAGTCTTGTTAATTTTGAGGTTTTTGGAAAGAGTGTATATATA